TTAAGCCAGGCCCAGTGGCTCACGCCTCTAATCCTAGCACTCTGGGAGGCTGAGACCAGTCTGAGCAAGAGCAAGACCCCGTCTCTACTAAAAAATAGAAGAAATTAATGGCCAACTAAAAATATACAGAAAAAATTAGCTGGGCAGGTGTGCATGCCGTAGTCCCAGCTACTCGGGAGGCTGAGGCAGAAGGATCACTTGAGCCAGGAGTTAGAGGTTGCTGTGGCTGGGCTGACACCACGGCACTGTAGCCGGGGCAACAAGAGTAAGACTCTGTCTCAAAAAAAAAATAAATAAAAAATTTTTAAAAATTGAGGCTTAGTTGTTCAAAACTATTTTTTGATTCAGAAATGAACTTTATGCTCCAGGTTTTGGTTCAGTTTTCCTCAGCTACCACTAGAGGGAGGCCAAGATACATCTGAAAACCCCACATCTAAAAAACACATCTTGAACCTGAAAGATTGACATTTAAGTTCTTTTTAAAATATCAAACATAGTTCTTAGTCAATATTAAAAATTATTTATTTTGCTGGGCTTAGTGTCTCATGCCTGTAATCCCAGCTACTCGGGAGGCTGAGGCAGGAGGATCACTTGAGGTCAGAAGTTTGAGACCAGCCTAGACAACATAGAGAGATGGGAAAAACATGGGGGGGGGGGGGGGGAAGCCAGGTGTGGTGACGCGTGCCTATAGTTACAGTTACTTAGGAGACTAAGGTGAGAGGACTCAGGAGTTTAAGGCTGCCCTGAGCTACAATCATGTCATTGCAGTCCAGCCTGGGAGATAGAGCAAGGTCTCATCTCCAAAAATAAATAAAATAATTAACTAACTGATTTTAAAATAAAAATTATTTATTTTGTGTTTTACTAGGAAACATCATACTGAAAGTAATTTTACATCTGGGATCTGTCTGCAATGTGGAGGAACAATGCAGTCCTGGTGTGTTCTGTACAAAGTACATGATACAAAACGTACTCCTGAAGTCTGTCTACCCCAGACCTTTGCAAGCCATGAAAAGGTATAAGAACCCAAGTAGAAATTATTTCATGGTGACTGAATTAAGCTTTTTTAGAGTTCTAAGCACTTTTTAAGAATGCAACACCCCAGCTCCCTTCCTAATTATAATTTTAAAACATTAAACTGTAAAATAAGCATAAATAAATCCAACAAACTTATTTTTCCAATAATAATTAACTTATTCTGGGGGTTTGAGAGATAAATATCTAGTTCTTCCCCCAAAATAAAATAAGTCAATACTCCTTTGCTGGAAGGTTAAGCATATACTTAGCCTTACAGATAATCTAGCTCTATTTCCCATGCTGCAAATAATTAGCTAAAAATGTCAAAACTAACTAATCTCTCTTTTTACCACAAAATACACACTCTCCTTATAGTGCTGTTTCTCATTGCCAATGCCTGGAAGACTCTAAACACATCAAAGTGACATTTGTGCTTTCCATTTTTGTAGACTTGGCAAGGAACTATGCAGGCATGCACCGAATGGCCAGTCTTAGCGCCAAATGGAAACCCATCTTCGGGCTCCTTGGCTCTGCCAGGACAGAAGACTCAGAGCACAGAGCACAGACAGCTGTCTAGACCATGAGGAGCAGGTCCAATGGAGTGCATCCCTGAGAGGCACATAGATGGTGCAGACATCGGAGTTTTTTCACAGCAATAGTAAGTGTGCTGATAATCACTGATCATGAACAACCTTACTAGAGAATAGGGGCAGGGAGAAGTATAAACCACACGCTTAGGGGAAATAAAATTCCAGACCAGGGGCAAGCGGTGTGCTGATGACTTTTTAACCAGCTCTACTGGAGAAAGGGAAAGGAAGTCCCTCACGTGTAGTTTGCCAATTCCCATGGCATAAAGACTCCCACCGTGGCCTGTTTCAGTCTACCAAGCATCACATCATTGAACATGGAGTTGAGAAGAGATGCTAACAGTCAGCTCTTACACACCACTCACAGCATCCACTCTGACCCTCCTCTGGCTGTGCAAATATTAGGAGCAGGCCTGATGGGGGAAACCTCCTTTCTATACTCCTATGGACTCTGTGAGGACGGGTTTTCCATGAACATAGCTGGATTCTTGGAACATCCCTCACTTCTCCCCAGGAGTGAAGAACTGATTTATCTGATTGGTGTGTTACAAAGAAGGAACTGAGTGCATTAGGCTAATCCCCTTTCTCCCATTTATCTAGAGAATCTGACTACCCAAAGATATGCTTTCTTCTTTGACTGCTATTACGAGATAAAAGTCAGTGACCTTATGCCACAGTTTTCCCAGGACAGTCCTGGTTTCATTCTATTAATGCTCCCTCTAACTCTCCAAAAGTGTCTTGGTTTGCACAAAAGATTATATGTCATCTTGGGTAAAAGGGACCAGCCTTGCAGAGCAAAGCCTGCAGCAACCAGAAGAAAGGCTGCCTGTTTCTGGGCATAGCCCTAGGAAATCCACTGTTACCACAAAACTGAGCCACATTCTTCACTATCACTGTCATTGGTAATAAAGCTGACGTTTTGATCTCCATCCACTTGATTCTTTACCTAGCTCTAATTATGTTCCAAACCCAGGGAGTAACAACAGAGGCATTATTATGGAGACCCTTAAAACTTCACCCAACTGAGTGCCCTGAAAAGTGACTGGTTGTGGCTTCTGGACACAAAGAAAGTGCAAATCCACACACAGAGATATAAAAGAGACCAGGTTCATTCAGACAATGACCCACAAGCTCCCAAATCTACATTAAGGAAACAAAATATTAAAATTTTTAGTGAGAACTGACTCATCAACAACTCTGCCGTAGTAAAAATTGATAATTAAACCGGGGTCACTTTCTAAACTCTAAGTCACCACCACAAATACGCAGGGTACTCCATACTGTTTTGTTGGCTAAGCGTACATATGCGAGCTACCAGTGGAGGGACCCTCCGATATCCAAATGTCATTCTCAACCAACCTTTATTTTATTTATTTATTTATTTATTTATTTTTATTTTATTTTATTTTATTTTTTTTTTTTGAGACAGAGTCTTGCTTTGTTGTCCAGGCTAGAGTGAGTGCCGTGGCGTCAGAGCTCACAGCAACCTCAAACTCCTGGGCTCGAGTGATCCTTCTGCCTCAGCCTCCCGAGTAGCTGGGACTACAGGCATGCGCCACCATGCCCGGCTAATTTTTTATATATATATCAGTTGGCCAATTAATTTCTTTCTATTTATAGTAGAGATGGGGTCTCGCTCTTGCTCAGGCTGGTTTTGAACTCCTGACCTTGAGCAATCCGCCCGCCTCGGCCTCCCAAGAGCTAGGATTACAGGCGTGAGCCACAGCGCCCGGCCCTATTTATTTATTTTTTGAGACAGTGTCTCGCTTTGTTGCTCAGGCTAAAGTGAATGCCATGGCGTCAGCCTAGCTCACAGCAACTTCCAACTCCTGGGCTCAAGCAATCCTCCTGCCTCAGCCTCCTGAGTAGCTGGGACTACAGGCATGCGCCACCATGCCCAGCTAATTTTTTCTATATATATTAGTTGGCCAATTAATTTCTTTCTATTTATAGTAGAGATGAGGTCTTGCTCTTGCTCAGGCTGGTTTTGAACTCCTGAGCTCGAGCAATCCACCCGCCTCAGCCTCCCAGAGTGCTAGGATTACAGGCATGAGCCACCGCGCCCGGCCTGATCATTTGCTTCTTAAAGGTCATATCCAATTACAAAGAATCACAAGTAGATGCCCACATATCCTTTTGCAATTACAATTTTGTTAAATGAAATACTCCTTTCAAGCAAGTAAGCCATTACCTATGCTTTCAAACTCCTTCAACATCAGTGTCTGAAGAGTGAGGAGCAGGCAAACCTTAGGATGGGGTAACACATAGAGAGACACATGCACTCATAGAGAGCACAATATAGAAAGCAGTCCAGAAGGAAAGCAGCTCTACATTCCAGATTATCATAATCAAACACTTAAGAAGAGACACACACGGTCCTCGATCTGCCTAACTATAACCACCAGCAGTTGAGTTGCAAGCACACCAGGAAGCTCAATTTAAGTTCATGGCCAAAGACAGGGTGGGGAGGAACACAGCAAGAACATATCCAGACAATTCTGCTGATGCACTTGTTGGTTCAGTTATTTTCTTGCCAGGGCCACACATACACACCCAAAGGCGGTGCCTCTAGATCACGAAATGCAGTAGAAATGTGTCAGTTCTTCAGTCAATATCAGCAAGACCAAAAGCCAAACCATATAATTCACTGTCCAGAGTACAGTTAATTAATTGTTAATTTTGGTTTCTTGCTGTAGCCAAGACCAGTATTCACCTACCCAACATTTATTCTCTTCATTTTCTTTAATGATACAATTTTAATTTTATTGCAAGTAGTAATGTATCCAGCTTAAATGAGCATTTACCAACCTCTCCTGAAGCTAGAGATGGTTGAGGAATAGTTAGTGAGCCTTTAGAGAAACTTCCTTAAGACAAACAGCCAGAATATGCCTCTTTGTCTTTCTTGCTTCTTCTCTGGAACATGTATGTGATATCTAGAACCCTTGCAACCATCTTGGACCATAGGACAATCTTAGGAATGGAAACCACATGCAATGGATGGTAGAGAAGGAAAAAAAAGGGCCTGAGTCACTGATACCACTTTAGAGCTACCATACCAGCGTCTCTTCCGCCTTTCTTTATGAAAGAAAAAAAATAAAATTCTATCTTGCTGAATTCCTGTGTTACTAGTAATTGAATGAAATTTATAATTGATATGCCTGCTATCTGAATCACCCAAATCATCTGTTAATTGCTAAATACCCACCTCATTTGGGGATATAGAAACAAAGCCTTAAAACTGGCTATAATAGTTATGGTGATTTGATTCTCAAAACTAAAAAATAGGTCGCACAATAAGAACAGTTTGAATCCATTTATGAGAGAAGCAGATCAGCTTATTTGAAATCAGGGCTGTGTTAGAACACCCAGATCATATGATTCTATTTCAGTTATTAAGTTCAAGCACATTGCAGTAATCCTGACCTGATTTTCCACTTCATCAGGAAAAAGGTAAGTTTGGGCACTCTTCTAACCAGGAACTTCAGCTTAATATCTAGTCTCTGAAATTAAATTCACAAAGGGTTCTGGGTTTCCTGAAACTCACATTCCCAATAAACTTTCGGGTTTTTGTAGTAATTACACCTATGCTTTTCCCTCTGTACCCAGGAAGAAGCGTTACTGGCACCTTTATCCTATAGAACTCAGTACTATATATTTAATATGTGCCTTAACTAAGCCCCCTATATCTGTTTCCCCATAAAAGGACAATAATGCTAACCTGTCCTCCAAGGTGTGTTGTGATGTTTAATTAATGTTTATAAAGTATTTAGTGAGCTACAGATGAAAGATGCTAAAGAAGCAGAAAGCAATATCATTAGTATGACTCATCGTTACCCTTATTAGTTATACAAAATGAAAGCCATGTTGCTACAGCTAAAATAGTTATGGATACGCATTAGGTCAAATATAAATCCCAGAGCAACTTAAATCCCATCTACAAAGTAAATACCTGAAGCTCATTAATAGAGCAATATGTTTTTTCTCTGTAATAAGTATTTGAAACCCCTTAAAATTTAAAAATATAAACTGATTAGAAGGTTAGAGTAATGGCAAAAAAAACATGATGCCTTTGGCAAACATATGAAATTCTTTATACTTTATTATGTAGATGAAGATTCTATCTGCAATGATGTGAAACTACTTGAAAAACTAAATTTTATTTGATTCATTTGCAATTGAAGCTAGCAATAATGACCTGAATTTCACAGGAAATTAAAACAATAAATTGGTAGCCTTAAAAGTTTAGTTCAGGCCGGGCGCTGTGGCTCACGCCTGTAATCCTAGCTCTTGGGAGGCCGAGGCGGGCGGATTGCTCAAGGTCAGGAGTTCAAAACCAGCCTGAGCAAGAGCGAGACCCCATATCTACTATAAATAGAAAGAAATTAATTGGCCAACTAACATATATAGAAAAAATTAGCCAGGCATGGTGGCACATGCCACCATGTAGTCCCAGCTACTTGGGAGGCTAAGGCAGGAGGATCACTTGAGCCTAGGTGTTTGAGGTTGCTGTGAGTTAGGCTGATGCCATGGCACTCTATCCTGGGCAGCAAAGCAAGACTCTGTTTCAAAAAAAAAAAAAGTTTAGTTCGACTGGTGTCTCTTGAGTTTCTATGTGCCCTACGTTGAGGTGCATTCTGTTTCACAGTCTTCAACAACTTTTCAACTAAGTATACAACTATATTTAGTAAGTACATATTAAGATTTTTATATTTCTGAACCAAAGAATCATTTACACTACATGTTCTATTCTAGAATACAAAACTAGAATATCATCTGTGCAGTCGAATAACAGACCAGACTCTATGGGTGTTCTGAAAGACATACCCACCGGGTTCATCATTACTTTGTGTCAGAAAACGAAATGATGACCATTCTCCGCTCAGAAAATACATAGTTGAATTTTTCTTCCAACTACCAAACAATTCGGTTAATCTGGGAATTATAATAATGTGGTCTAGTCAGGTTTACATGGAAGGTAAAAGAAACTCATATCCATTTCATACCCAAAAAGTACAAAGTTAACATTCTCCTTCATTGAAAGTAAAGACTATCGTGAAAGTTGCTTAATCCCTTAACAACAGCAACAAAAAGACAAGCAGAGCATTGCATTACAGCACTGAAGGGACTTTTCAAGGTAAACAGATGTCGTGCCATCTTAACCAGTCCCGATATAAAGCCATTCATGTTGGGAATAATCTAAAATCGTTTTCTGCTACGTCTTTGATGACTCCTTTTTTCTATCTCCATTTCTTCCTCTAAATGTGTTGTGACCCATATGTTTACCACTGGGATGTCCCCCAAATAGTTACCACCAGCCTTCCATTGCCATATATGTCTATATCATGTAAATTAAAATGGGAAGAATCCCCATCCAGCACAAAATGGAAAACAAGCACCCCCACCTCACTCCTGCAATAGTTCGTGAATTCTAAAGGAGCTTCCATTACTCTGAGTCACCTCTTCCTTGGATTTCTTGCCTTGCTGAATTCTCCAGTGTCATCTTTTGTGCATGTTCCCTTAGCTTTACTCCATATTAACTCAATATGGAATACACTCCTTCAGACTGTCTTTGAAACTCACAAAACTTCCTGTTTATTTCTTTTGACATCACTCCTAGGATTTAGTATGCTGTGAGTTTTATTTTCCACTACAAATGGCCTATCAATGTGGTTAACTAAATAAAAAGTTTTCTTTCTGAGGAATTTTCTTGATGGCTTTTAAATGTACATCCCCTCCCCTCCATATTTCAAATTAACTTTCCAACTTCCAGCACCTATAATAATATTCTTCTCTTTTTACATTCTTTTCTTTGGAATTCTTATCCAATTTGACAGCAAATGACTACCACATTTCAATCTTCAACTTCTATCTCTCGCCTATATTCTGGACTTACATTTCCATTCTGAAAGACATGTTTGCAAAAATTTACCACAGATACCTCAAACCCAGCACATAAAGAAAAATATGTGAGACTTGTGTTCTGTGTGGATCGTCAATATAGACTACAGGGTCAAGTGACAAAGTTTTCTTCTAGGAAAAAGAGTAGGATCCAGGTGCTAAGGCCCTCAAAGATGTGAAGTGACTCCATACCTGTCAGAAAGAGTTCATGGCTTACCAGATTCCTCTGGAGTATCAAAAGAGGGACTGCTGAGAGAGGACTGAAGAATAATAATTTATAGGTAAGGTTTGGGGTCAACCTAGATGTCTAAAACTTCAAAGTCATGGCATCCAAAGTTAAAGGCATCATCTTTCCCAAACTCATCCTGTTCCTAACTTTGTGAACTCTGTTATTGGAACCACAATATTCCTAGTCACACAATTTCAAAATTTTAACTTTGACTCTTCTGTCTCTTATTCTGTATTCCTTTAATTGTCTAGTTCTTCCAATTCAGACTCTGAAATGTCATTTCCATTCTGACCTTTGCTACCTTAATTCCAGCCCTCATAATCTTCCAATAAGATTGATTAAAATGAGTACCTAAAATATCTCTTTATCCTCAGACTTTTTCATCTAATTCTTCCCATCTACTGCTGCCAATTGATAAATTTTCATAAAGTACAAAAGTGATGATATCATTTCCCTATAAAATCTTCAAAGCCTCTTTATTACCTAGCAAACTGAGTATACACTCCTTAGTAACCTCCCCATTGTGAAATCCAAGGGTCAGTTCTCAGGCCTCATCTCACTCAACCAATCAGAAGCATTGGAGGATTAATCTCTAGCCTGATTTCTAGAAATGGTCTCTTGCTTCAACCCTTACCTAATAATCTATTTCGCAAACAGCCGTGGTGATGCTTTCAAAATATAAGTCAGATTATGTCACTATTCTGATTAAAATCCCCCAAAGGCTTCTTCCTGTTTAACTTAGGGTAAAATTCAAAGTGCTTACAATGGCCAGCAAGAGCATACAAAAGGTGGCTACCCACTGCCTGACCTCATCCCTCTACCACAATCCTCCATCCCTCTAACCTTCCCTCTGCCACACCAGTCTCCTTGCTCTTACCCAAGGACAACAAACATGCACACACCTCTTGGGCTTTGCAATAGCAGTTCCACTCTTCTCGCTGAGAGATGTAGGGCTCTCTGACTCATTCAAATGTCTATTTATAGATTGTCCACTGGAGAGTTCTCCCTTCACTCTATTTAAGTAACATCCCCCCAGCTTACCCATGTAATCCCTATTCTCCACCACACTTAGCACTATTGCAAATACACCATTGGAAATGTCATAGTTATCTGTGTATTATTTTTTATTATCTGTGTCCTCCCAGTAAAATATAAGCTCCCTGACAGGAAGAGCTTTGTTTCTTTTACAGCTATTTTCCCAGTTCCTAAAAGAGAATGGTTGTACTTAGTAGATGCTCAATAAATATTTGTTGAATGAATGAGTCTAATGGAGTGAACCTCCCTGTGGAAATCCTATGCTAGTCCAGTGGAATCCAACCTATGGGCCAAGGATTTGGGAAGTATCAGAGTAATATAAAGGGGTCTGTGAATCCACATCCTTTCAATTATTGTCTGTGAACTAAGTACTATATAATCTGTTACTTTAAAATATTTATTAATTTAAAGTATATTTTATCATCATGTATTTTCTCAAAGGATACTAATAGTGCAGTTGCTATTATGTAGGGGCCTACCAATTTTTTTTCATATTAACAAGGGGTTCTCATACTAAAAAATGTTAGGAACCCCACTACCCTAGCCAAATGAAACCACTACCTTTTCATCAAGTCGTCTACAAACATTCACACCTGTACCTTTGCTAACATTTGTGTCTTAACTACAAAATCTTTTCCTCCCCTCCTCTTGCCACCCCACCCTCCAATTGCTTTGCCTTTCCACATCCTGAATCGTCATCATCTACACCTGAGTGAGCACGTCCCTAAGTGAGAGCTGGCAATGAGACACATGATGAACTGCCTGGGGAGAGGGATGGGAAGGAAGGAAGAGCCAGAAGGAGGAAAGGAGGTGCTGAAAGACTCAGCTAGAACTCCCAAGTCCAGCATCACCTGCCTCCCAGTTTGCCTGGAGTCCCCCCTTGGGTGAATAAATGTTCCCAGCAGAGCCCTGCCACCAGCAAAGCCCATCCACTCTGCATTCCCCACAAATATAACATGCAATTCTAGACCCTGAACTATTTTTCATATTAGCCAAAGTGCTCTGCCCACTGCTCTCTGCCAAATAGCACCCATCACATCTTTGTTCTGGTTCAACCTTCACCTATTTCTGGAAGTTTTCCCTAGCTGACCAACAGCACAACTTTATCATTCCTCTATGGCCCTTTAGCAATTTAAACTATTTCTTAAACAAATTTTCTACTCTTTGATAACTTGGTGTGTTTTTTTTTGGTTTGTTTTGGTGGTTTTTTTTGAGACAGAGTCTCGCTTTGTTGCCCAAGCTAGAGTGAGTGCCTTGGCATCAGCCTCGCTCACAGCAACCTCAAACT